GGACGGGGGGGGATCGAAAACTCACCCAGTCACGCCAGTAACTGGTGTAGTCGCTGTCGGTCTCGGACTGAAACTCTTCCATCATGCCGATGTTCTTTCGGAGGATGTAGTAGGCGACGGTGTTTGAGAGGAGGAAGGTGACTGCAAACAAGCAGCATTTTGCCAGAATCGCGAGAGCGACAAGAAACGCCATTTTAAAGTCTAGCATGGTCACGTGCAAAAACGGTGGAGCAAGCGGATGAGAGAGAATATATTGCGGTGGATCAAGATGGAATTCGACGCAGCTCTTGAGGTCTTGGCGTGATATTCACCACAACGGACGAAGTCTGTGCAAACATCCATCCCCCTTTGTTTCACGCAGTGGGCCCCCCTTGACCATATTGCATCACTCTTCTACAGTGATGGAGCGGAGCCCGTCCTTCTCAAACATGTCACTTACAATGACGGCCCTGAAGTTATCACTCACCTGAATCCTCGCCGTCAACCCACGACTTCCTACTCCACAATGTCTGCTTTTTGAGTGCCCAAGGACGTCCTGTCTTGGACCCAATTTGCATGGCGTTGGACCCGGTCACAAGTCTATTGACACTGGCTATGATGTGCTTTCACCAGATTGACGCGAACCGTCCGCATCTGAAGTTCATGACAATCAGCAGGAGGAAGACGCTCTGGTCAGCTGGATCATCTCATGACGGGCAAGCTTAAAGCGAAGGGAACCTTTCGTCATCTTACAGCAGCTGCAAAGTTAAAGGCCTTCAAGTATGGATCCGAAGGCCTTTGATTATGACAGGGCCTACCCAAAATCCACCACCCGTTGATGGAATACTGTTTGGCACCGTTTGTCAGCTTTTGGTCGAGATAGTTCAATTACCCTCCTGGTACTGGTAGGCATATCGTTCGAAACAATTATCTCGTTTCCGGGGATGGTGGAAATCGAGGCCCAATCCTCCATGTTCTGGACTCAGTGAGTCCATCAGGTAAATGGGTGGAATTGTGTGCATGCGCAAACACAGCTTTCCACATGTTTAGCTGACAAAGACTTCCATTGTCTCGACCACCTGTCCAAGGATTCCCGACTGGTTTCTAATCGACGTACGGAATGTAAGTATACTCTTTGCTCCGAGGTCCCAAGAGTGGCACTCCTCAGAAACGCTACATCGCCCCAAACATACGGTTGTTCCAGAAGAAGGGTACTCTCAGGGGAAAACTCCCGAATTCACCACAGTGATTTTCCACAGTTCTGCCGCACCTCTTACCAAAAGACCTGCTCAGACCTTCTCCACAAATCATTCTGGAACTATTTAGACATATTAATATCAGTCTCGCAAATTGCTCCTACATTCGGACCAAACCTGTTCTGCAGGTATGCGACCAACGTCAACGCGAAACGGATTCCTCTGTCTCCCGAATGTGCATCCTTGTGGGCGTGGCGGGTGGGGGCTCGGACCAGATTCTTGTTGAGGTGTCAGAGGAATCTACGAATCTGGTCCACGCACTGATTGACTCTGTGAGGGCTGTAGCTGTAGAATTACTGTAGAGCGGGCCTCAGTAGCAGAGGGTTTGTTGTGGGCTCCGTGGGATTTGTGGGCTGTGGGCTGTGCGGGTTCCGGGGGCTTCGATATATATATACAGTGGGTCTCGTAGCTGAGGGCTTGAGTGGGTTTAGAGAGTCAACAGGGCAGGGCTATTATCTGATCACGTCTTTTTTTGAGTTCTTGGATCTTTTTTACACTGTGCGCCTTTTCTGTACTGGAATGGTTTTCTACTTTGTTGTGGTACTTCGTGATCGTGGGAGGCGGAGGAGATTTGCCAAGCATTGCATTGTGATACTCGACGAGGCTGAACTCGAAGGGGTAACTTCCTTCCACTCACACCTGATTTTTCGTTCGTGACTTTATGTCCTCGGAATTTCGGGCACCACGGTGTGAATCTCAGAGCGAGTCGTCTATTGAAATAGTGTTACAGACTTTTCTTCCCCGTACAGATAGATGGGCTGCGCATCTCACAACGCAACAGCTCTCAAGCTCTACAAAAATCAGGCACTGTACTTGGGCCAGCAAACACTGTCGGACGGCCCCGTCAGCGCCATCACCGACATTCCGCTACTAGACGCCGTCGCTGCCTCATCTATCTGGTCGCTTATGTTTTGCACAATGGGCTCGTACCAAATTAAAGGCGACGGCTCCCAGAACTCGTTGAGAACGAAACTCAGCGTCAGTTCCCGCGCGTCGGACCATTCCCACAGGTTCAGGAACCGCGCCTGTAGGACAAGCATGTTGCTGAACCACAGCGAGGGCGGTCCGGTCCGAGGCTTTTGCCGCGCGGGACTCGGGTGGCTCGCCTTGAGCCTCTGCTGCTCCATCTGGGCTCCGACAAAAAAGACCCAAAGGTGTGCCTCCCGGTAGTAATGCAGGTCTTCTATGGTCGACGACTCGGTGATTGATCTCATGACCCGCTCCAGCCGTGGCAAGATGAAGCGGGAGGAGTCACAGATATCAATGCCGTTGAGTTTGGCCTCCCAAAGGCTCTTTTGGAGGGACATGATCAACGTCAATGTCAAAGCTATGTTTGTGAGGTGGGGTTCCTGGTGGGAATCATGACCGTCGGTCAAGTCGGCGTAGAGGTGTAAGAGGGTTGCCATGTCCCTTTGGGCATCCAGGATTACCCAGCGATGGATCATCTCCGCTTCCCGCAAAGTACCAGGCGTGACGGTGTTTTTCCCAAAGGACAGATACCATTGAAGACGCTTCATGGCCTTGCGGAGTGGGCGCAACGAGACCGAATGGTGGATGTCTGAGTCGTCCGAGGGATCGGGTGGCAGACAATGATCAATCAATGCGTGGCATTCATTCGAGAAGGCCTGGATCCAATGCTTATAGTCCAACAAAGGCCGCCGAAGCTGGTTCGTCGCCGAGACGATGTCATTGTACACCAACATGCGGATGAAGTGGCCCCGTTGTTCCAGCTCTGGGACCGAGTCGGCAAAGCCACGGATCATGTTCGCGTGCAGGCGCGCCGCCTTGACGTCCCCCGCAAACGAGTCCATGCGGAACAGACGCATCACACACATGATGAGCGTCATTTCTGGCCGACGTGTCCCATCCAAATCGCTTATTCTCTTACGCAGCACCTCGAGACTCCGTGTCCGGAGGCTCAAGGCCATGACCGAGTATTCCTTGTGTGCGTCCTTGGGCAGGAACCGCGTTATGGAGATGGCGTACATCGAGACGTACGAGGAGAGTGCGCCCTCTTCGGCCGAAGACCACTCCCAGGTCCAATCAAACGACTTGATGTCCCGAAGAGCTCCGTAATTCTTGGGGTCGAAGTACCGTCTCCAGGGATCCGCGAACAATCGCCGAATGTAGCTCGTGGCAAAGAGGCTCAACAGCGACTGGTTCGCATACTGCAAGATTTGATGGACCCGCGGCGTGACGGGGATGGCCTGAGCGTTGAACGGATCAGAGGAGCCGTGTGGCGAGAGCGGAATAGGGCTTCGTTGAGGCGTGATTGGGAGCGTAGCGGCTGGGACATTGTCCTCCTGTGCAGTCTCGTCTATCCAATAATTACCTGTCACAGATTTTGATCCGAAGAGTCAGCATATGGTCCCGTCCAGCGAGAGGGAACCGTTCAAGTTTTTACTCGGACCTGCCACAAACCTTTCTTACGACCACCACCGCCACCACCTGCTGAAGGCCGGGCTGGCCTCCCGTGTCTGACCTGTCCGACTCCTCGCACGTGGTGGCGGCGCCTTGCATGTGCGACTTTGGCAGCGTGGGCTTTGCGCTCCGCGTCCTGAAGCTCCTTTTCCTTCTGTGATTGGGGAGAGGTTGATTGCAGGACAAAGATCAGGGGCGCCTCTTGCTTCGTCATGATGTGCAGGGTTGCGTTCGAGTGTGACCAGCATAGTATAGGCGGGCTGAGCGCATGTTTGACTAAGGGCCAGCTGGGGAGATGGGTGTAGTTCGCCCTCAACACACGTAATCAAAAACTTGTTCTCCCCCTTTTTCAAGCCTTGTGGCCTTGGGCGATCTATAGTAATTGTCCAAGTACTCGGTACTGGAAAAATCTTGGTCCTATTTTTTTGGGGGGGGGGGGTTTTCAAGCGAGTTGCTTTCTCGATACGAGGTACAAGTAAGAAGTACTCTCGCAATTGTCACCCGAAGTATGATTGCGCAGCGGGCTTTTGACTCGCGCCAGACTGGAGTGCCAATACTCGACTATTACGAGTGCAAAGTAGTAGCACCACCTTCCTCTTTGCGGTTCCGTGATCATTCCCGTACTTATTCAACCCCCCGGGTGCTCAGACCATGGGAAGCGTGATGCGGTCCCTTGACTTTTAGGGGGGGCGCCCTTTCTTTTCCCAGGTACCACTCTGACGGATTATACCGTGTGTTTTGTCCTGCGCCCCAAAGGAGAAATAGGTGAGGCACCTTACGTAAACGCCCTCCCATTGGTGCCGAATCCACCAAAGGCAATACGCTAGCCGTTCTGGGCGTTTGCTTCCTCACTTCCGTTTCTTGGTCGGGAGCACGCACGTATCTGTCTTCTTATTACATGATCCTATTATTCAGCCGTCTGTGGCTTTCTCGCTTCCGGGCCTTGTGTTTTGGCGAATGCAAGCATTGCCAAGAGTCGATTCGTATGTACCGAGTTGCTTGCGATCGCAGTCTTTGAGCTTGTTCTGTTATGCCGGTCCGGGCCTTGGGGAAATATACGTCAATGTCAGCGGTTGAACTCCGTTCCACGGTCAAGGTTTGAAGCTGCTGGCTCGACCGTCCGGCTCCTTGGCAGCAGTGGTTGGTACAGATCAAGCCGTAGTCGGCACTGTCGAGGAGGAGACAGAGGAGCGAAATGCCTTAATAATGGCGTGCCGTCTCCCTCGCATGGAGTCTTGGAACCGATAGATCTATCGTTCGCGATCGTTGAAACCCCTCCCCGGTGTCGAAAGGTTTGACCGTATTGTTTTCAAGCATATATCCTCCTGTTTCTCGATGGAAAAGATGGAGCTGAGGAACGAACCCCACCAAGCAGCCAGGCCAGCGCAGAAGGAAGAAGCTGCGGAAATCTCGACAGAAATCCCGCATGAGACCAATGATGGTGATGCGCGACTCTCTGAAAGGCGCATCCTCACAAAGTGCGACCTCAACTTGCTGCCAATGCTGTCTCTGCTGTTCATGTGTACCATTCTCGACAGGTCAGTTCCCACCATCACACCCCCCCGGAGAGCTTAAACTGAAAAAAAGGGCGGTGTAGGGTCAATGTCGCAAATGCCCGCATACAAGGACTGGAGAAGGATCTCCACATGCACGGCCAGGACTTCAACGTCGTCCTGTTCATCTTCTTCATCCTGTACATCTTGCTGGAAGTCCCCGCGAACATCCTGATCAGGAGAATTCGACCGTCGCTTTTCCTCAGCGTCGTGGTCTTCGCCTTCGGCGTCGTGACCATGTGTCAGGGACTGACCAGGTCGTATGCCGGCCTCGTCGTCTGCAGAACAATCCTCGGGGGCCTCGAGGCGGGCGTCTACCCTGGGTCGATCTACCTGATGACCATGTTTTACAAGAGGCACGAGTTCCAGTGGAGGTTGAACATCTTCTACGGCTCTTCCCTCGTCACGGGAGCCTTCAGTGGCCTCCTGGCCTACGCGATCGCTCACATGGACGGCATTTCGGGGTACAGTGGGTGGAGATGGATCCTGATCATCGAAGGGCTGGTCACTATCGCGGTCGCGATCCCGGCGTACTGGATCCTCCCCGACTGGCCGGAGACGGCGAAATTCCTCACCGAAGACGAACGACAGTTCTGGGCGCGCAGACTGGCGTCGGACACCACGCACGTGGAGATGAACATTCTGAACAAGCAGGCGGTAAAGCGGTGCTTGGGCGACGTCAAGATCTGGATTGCCAGTTTCGCATACCTCTGCATCCTGACGTCCAGCTATGGGAGCGCTTATTTCCTGCCCACAATACTCTTCGAGTTGGGCTGGACTTCGACCAAAGCCCAGGTCATGACGATACCCCTCTACGCGGTCGGAACCGTCGTGTGCTTGACCTGCGCTTTGCTCTCCGACCACCTCAAGCACCGGTTCTCGTTCGTCTTTGGTGGGTGTGTCGTCGCCATCATCGCATATGCCATCTTGTTGTCATACTTTTCCGTCTCGGTCGGCGTCCGGTATTTCGCGCTTTACCTCCTCCAGAGCGGCCTAGTCGTGGCGCAGCCTGGGATTGTAGGCTGGTTGAGCAACAACCTCGGCGGCCACTACAAGCGTGGAGTGGGGATCGCCATGCAGTTATCCCTGGGGAATATCGGTGGCATCATCGGCAGCAACATTTATCTCAAGTCTCAAGCCCCAACTTATCATGTTGGTTTCGGGACGGGCGTGGGACTCCTTTCCGCCGGAGCAGTGGCTTCGTGCATTCTCTTGTGGTACCTCCGGAGAGAGAACAGGCTCCGAGACAAGGGCGCAAGGGATTATCGCTATAACTTGCCAGAGGCCGAGCTCCAGAATCTGGGTGATGATCACCCTGCCTTCAGATTCTCTTATTGAGCCAACACTGCGTCCCTGAGAATGCAGGCCAAATTGCGGCAGACAACTGGTCCGGAGGTGTCGTTTCAGCCTGACAGACTTGGTGGAGGATAGGGTTGTTGCCGTCCATCCACGATGTCGATGTCCATTAAATGGATACTCATCTTGACGCCTCCATTAATATTTAGTGTTCGACTGCCCCCGGATCTTGGCTATGTCAGACTGCCAATGTATTCCGCGCAGAGATAGCGATGAAAGCCAGTTCTTGATGGGAGAGGCTCCTGATTCCGCTGAGGGTCTGCTGAGGTCGACTCTTCTGTCATATCTATATCGTCTTCATGGTCTTGGTTCGGAGATCGGTGCAAACCCTCACCCAGGTTCTCGTTTGTGTCTAACGGCATGGCGGCTGTCGAGTTGTCTGGATGAATGTTCTGTGGTCGTTCGGAAGGGCGGGCCGGCTGAAGTAAAATTGTGTATCCGTCAACTTGGTTGACTGCTTGCATCCTGTGGGAAGAGACACTGATTGCGAGCCACTGTTGCTGCTTTGGAAGTGCTTCCAAGAGTTCGGTGCGGGAATGTTTTCTGTCAAGATGCGGCGCTCAGCAATGAACGGAGCAATAATATGCATCACATGAGATCGACATAGCGTTTGGTTCCACGTAAGGAACTTTTCCCCAGGCTCATATAAGGAGATGCACTTACATGACAGCGCACAATAGTTCCAATATCCATCGCGATGGTATGAGACCGGACCATGTGAGGACTTTGACCGTCTGTTCTGAACCGCCTGAATCCGGATCGTCTGAGAGGTCAGGCACCTGATACTGGCTGAGGAAAGAGTGAGCCTGGTCGGTGGCTTGTACGCGGGGCGAAGCTAGTGAGAGCATATCTACGTATTCCAACATATCATACAAAGACTCATGCGCCTCTGCTGGTGGAAGGGAGAACTCATCAGATATTGCGGTCAATGTACGAGGAGTCAAGACATTTGTCAGAGACTGTGTCGCTGGTGAAATCATGTGGATTGTAGGATGGTGTGCGCTCAGAGGCAGTGTACTCTGATCCGAGATATCTGTAGCGAGGATCAGTATCATCACGGAAGCTTGAGAGAAAGCGTAGAAGGAATTACCTCCAGTTTTTGTATTGAGGTCGATGAAGAGCCAGTTAAGGCTTTGGTTTAGAGCATGTTTTGCGGCCCAGACGAGCCGCTCGAAGCCCTTTTTTCCGTGTAACATTGACGGTAGACGAAGGTCGACCTCTACGACTGCAAGATTCTCAGCTCCATACCCTAGCACGAGGTCGAAGTTCCGGTGCTGAAGAAGAACGAAGTAAAGCCATCGGGGAGAGAGGACCTACGATATCTCAACTTGACGTGCTTGCTGCCACCAGAAGGTATGGGCTTGCCTTGCAGACCAGCCCGCTCATACGATTCTTTCAAAAGCTCCAGTCTCAGGACTCCTGGTATTCCAAGTTAGCTCAGGGTGTCAAGCCAATACGATTCCGCTGCTATCGTGGCTTCGACTGACTGTCTCCCTGCACATACCTTCTTTCAACGAAAAGATGTTATCAACACCAGCTTCGCCCTCTGAGACCATGAGAATGTTCCCTACACATCCAAAGAAGTTAAGCTTGCTGCTCGTAGTCTGAATGCAGCATTGAGGTTGACAGTGGAAGACAACATTCGTAAGTCTCACCTCTTTTTACATATTCCGTGAAGAAATCTCCACTGAGTACATCTGCTAGCTTCATGATGACCTTTGCATATTTTACTGGCTCCATGCTCGCGTCTAATTTCTTCCAAAGGAGGCTGTATAGCTCATCGGGAAGAATGACCGTGGCATATTGATTATATTCGAGCCCCCGGATGGTGCGCCATGGAGATTTCTTAGTCGGAGCCTGCGTGGCGTTCACATATGAGGGAAGCTGGCCTGTGGTAATATTAATCTTGGAAGCCGATGAAGGGGATTTAGGAAGTAGAGACGACATGTTGCGAGCAGTGGCTGGCCTGCAAACCAAAGCTGAAAAAGAAGGGATGATTGACTCGCTGTGTCTACGAGGCTGACTTTTGACGAGGCTCTGGTGCGGAGATGGCACTAAACCGTAAATGTGCCGATAAGCTTGGCGCCGTTTATTATTTTGTTCGCAGTTTCAAGTCCAGTTTCTCCAAAAACTTCGAGTTCTTTTCTTCAATTCATCGTGTCCTGAGCTGGACCATGCATGCAATCGCCCAGCTTCCAGACGGTTGCTCTCAAGGTTAGCGATGCTCTGTTTTCTGTCCCCTGCTTGAATGATGAACATTATACAATCCAACTCCAAGGACTCACGTTCTATGAGGAGCAAAATCATCTCTAGAATTACGCTGACCCGTCTTGCTACCCTTTTCCCTGCACCCATTCAGACTTCGCAGAATGATGGCTGACTTATTGAAGGTTATGGCAGATGGTTCAAGGACTTGCGTATGCTGAACCGGCCACGCACAGCATTTCTTTGAAAAAGGTACGACCTTACATCTAGTTCATCTTGTTCCTCTCGTGATGACCCCTTGACACGAATGGCATTCCTCAGACTTAATTCTCCATGTGGAATCTGTCTACTACAAGTTTCAGCCTTGTCTGACCCATGCGCATCTTCAACTCTTCCAGTTTTTCTGTGTCGTGACACGGAAGGCTAATGAGATTTTGTGACAGGTACATTCTTCGCTCCTTGTTCCCTTCCCTTGCTTTATCGCTGTGACGAATACTTGAACGAACGGGCGGACAGACTGCGTGTGTGGCACCATACATCTGTAAAAGCAGGACGTACAATCCTTGTGGATGTTGTGAGGCCGCAACACTTGTTGAGAACTCGTCAGCTGATCGAACGCGAATGCACCGAACGTTGTTGGATTGTACTACATATGTGAAGCATTGCTAACAGCCCTGGTTCTAGGTATTTACGATGCCCTTCTCCTTCTGATTTCAACCTGCATCCTATGATGAACAATATTCACACTGTTTGAACCGAGCCTTCGCTTGGAAATGAACGTTAACACTGAAAATTCTGATTTAATGAAGTATGTTTCTTGGATCATCTGCTGTTTGCTGCCTCTTGCTGACAGAGTTGCTAATAGCCTGACATAGATGTTCAATTTGCCCATTTGCGCGAAAGATCTGATCTCGAGCCTGAGCTGACCGACTATTGTTTGGTACAGGTAAATCTTTTTTACATCGTCTGAGTTCGATTGGAACAAGAAGTAAGCATATACCCTCCTGTTGATGCGTTTATCCTGATGATCTCATGTATTTCGCTGTGTTCTTACTGAATCCCCATGTCGAATATACATCACCTTGGAGAACTGAAATGTTTCTGGCTTGGCCCAATCTGACAAGCTACTCTTTGTTCTTACAGACATGTGCTAACATCACATTAGTTCCTCTGTTTTCTCGATGGATTGTGTAGGGAAAGGTGGTCAGTCTAAAGTCGTGTATACTGAAACGATCTGCCTGCGAACTGTGGCTGGCTGTTATACGTCTAGCTCTTGAACCATTTGCTTCTGTAGCGGATAGATATATGCAAACATCATACAATGAACAGCGATTTCATTGTCAAGAGAGTTTTTCACTTGAGCACCCGAGTTTTGTTCGACTTCGAGTAAGGCACGTGACGATAAGTATTTGGAGCTTGGGCTTAGCATCTCCTGATAAATACTCGGTACATTTCCGCTTCCCCAAACCGAACTGTCCAAACCGATTCTTTGCAACCATTCAATCTGCGCCATTTTTCACTGCGACCAGCTACACTCAATATTCCTTTTGGTCCTCCTGTTGGGAAAATACACCCCAATGTCTGGTTTCGGTGCTCCAGGTGGTGGCGCGGCCAACTACAAACCCACCCCCCCGGAACGCGGTTCCTTCCCACTTGACCACGACGCGGAATGCAAGCACGTAATATCCTCCTATCTGCGATGCTTGAGAAGACAGAACCCCCCTGGGAGGAACAACGAAGAGTGCAGGCTACTGGCAAAGGAATATCTTGGTTGTCGTATGGAGAAGGGTCTCATGGCGAAAGATGAGTGGACGAATTTAGGATTGGAATTTGGCAAAACGGCTGCAGGCAACCCGGACACTCCTGGTGCTTCTGGTAGCGAGAGCAAGAAAAGCTGAAGAGCGGGAAATATGTCAAACTGGTTCCTGCGCACTCTGGAATTCGTCCAGGCAAAATCGCATCCGAGTTGGGTCGAATTCTCCTCCAACCACAAACGTACAATTGATCCTCGTCTACACACTCAGTGGCCCCATTCAACTCTTTGCGCCCACCGAGCACCCGACTATTCAACGTGGACCGGTCTGCAGCCATGACCGTCTTTCTCGCTGCTGGATAGCAGGCTTGTCCCGAACTTCAGACACCTTGTCCGGAAATGCATGAAACTCCAGATCCAGTCCTCGTCCGAGCGAACTAGATGGTTCGAACCCATCAGTCTAGCCCTTGTATGGGGCAACTTGGAGGATGGAATCTGCGCAATGCCAGCATTCGGATGAAGATTGTTACTGTCTAGATGTCAACATCTGCTTGAGACTTGACTGGACAACTCTTCTATTCTGGCTTGCCGCGGTTCAGTCCTCACACATTAATTGATTTCAGCGGATGTTAGCTTGGATCTGACGGTGATCCAAATTTGGATGCGGCAATTTGGGAGGAAACTCAGGTGCGCATGAGGCATTCAGAGTGTGTCGGACGTGGCGAGGTGTTGGCTTTGTGGAAGGCGAGATCCAAGGGGTTGTCTCAGTGCTCCCAGTGTGACGAGCCGTCTCTGTGACCGATTCATGCTGAAGTTCATACACTGTGATAGTCGGAGAAGTGAAGCCAGATACACACAAGGCGACTATGGAACTCCACTGACAGGCTTTGATTGGTACGAACTGGACTTTACAATGGTGCTCGAACAAACAGCCTCCAGGGAGACAAGGCCCCGTGGCCCCTTACAGTGGCGAGGACACTACTCCGTAATACATACCTCAAACAAAATACCTCGTGCTCGACTCTAAGAACAATGGGATGGGATGCCTTATAATAGTGTGGATTCAAGCTCGCAAAGGCCCCAGGCAGTTCGGGACGGGCCAGTTCCGCAGGGAGCGTAGCATCTCGTCTTTACTCGAGCAAGAAAAAGGTGCGTGGGCTGGTGAAACCTCACCCCTTTCTTCCAATACTCATCATCGAGATTAATAATACTATGCGAGGTCTCCATGCCTTCGTATCGATCTCTTGTCCTGTGGAGCACACAATGTCTTGTCTCTGGCTTACGGCAGCCTACGTATAGCATTCCGACACCGACGGACAATACGAGTACTCATATGCGCAATCTCCATCTTGCAGGACCCCCTTATTGTGATGGCCCTCACAGCCATGTTCTACTCTAGACTCTTGAAGGTGTCACTGAATGTCTCCTGGCCCATCAGAAACCCACGCCAACTTGCCATTTGACCTGGTCCATTGGAGCACTGGTCGTATCACACAAGGCTAGCGGGACTGACTTGGGAGATTTTTGCAGGGATGTCTGCAGATTGTTCCGCTAGCCAGACCCGCTGGAAACGGGCAACATGGCCTGAAACGGCCCCTCGGGCAAAACTCAGACACATAGCCTGGAGTGGCCTGCCTTATCGAACATGGGTCACGACTCCAGACCGCACCTCATGATTGGGCAAAAGTCTCGGGTTCGCGATGGGCGGGAAGAGATCGCCATATCAAACAGAACTGGAAATGGTATTTGGGCTAGGGCTGTCTAGGCCTGGTGTTGAAGATTCTCTTGGTTTATATGCTTCGTTAACACCCCTCGTCGCGATGCAAACACCGGCAGACTCAAGTTCTCAAGGGATTTTGGGACCGTTGAAGCCAGAACTATCATGAACATGGCCCTTGAAGCGTCGGCGAACTACAGTCCAATCCCGGTGAGAGACGACGACGACGGCACGGGCGACGAACAGAGACTTGTCCAAGAGGCGGCACACAACGACATTCACCACGATGCTCCCAGTCACCAGCGACATGAGTCGGAATCAACAGACGTGCCTGTCATTGAGATATCTCCACCCCCTTCACCTCCGTCACCTTTTTTACCTCCTACAAGGCTCAACACCGAGCAGTCCGATCATGTTCCTGTGCCCCAGACACCTCCGCGTAGGTCTATGATTCTTCGCGCGATGGCTACTCTCTAACCGGAGAAACAGGGCACAATACACAACCAGCCGCACAATCGCCCGAGAAGCGGAGGCATTCGAGTCAGAGTGGATGGAGGGAACGCATCTACAGTTCCATCACGCCCTCACTTCACGAAGTCCTGGAGCTGAAATACTCCCTTCACAATACTTCGAGAGAGTATAGACACGACAAACAACGAAAGCGGCTTTTGCGACTGACCATTGGTGAATGGGTCAACAGCCTGATCCTCTGCGTCGTATACTTTGGCATCCTCTATGCCTATTCCAAGAAGTTGACCATCAGCGTACCCCAACGCCGAGAGTTCAACGCCCTCACCACCGGCGTCTCCCTTCTTCTCGGGGTCAACTTGGCGGCATCGTTGCGCAGCTACGCGAAGCTCCTCCGCTGGCGAATCCTGGCGGCGTGTTACCGACCGCTCGAGACTTTCGATCTCGTCATGGGCTGCGACAGTCTCATGAACGTCATCAAGCTCCTCTGGAAGGCGCGGAATCGGGAACGCCGATATCTGCCGTCGAGGACTCAGGTTCTTTGTGTGCTGTGGCTCCTGGTCCACCTGGCCGTCACCGTCCTGGTGGGCATCATCGGTCTGAACTACAACTTAGACACGTCGAACGATTACGTCCTCACGCGGAAAGGGGACACGAGCATCGTCGACCTGAACGCGCTTTCCACGGGCGACTATCCGGCCGACCTGGCCGCCACGCAAGAATGGGGTGTCCGCGGAGAAACCGCAACTGTGCTGAATTATAACAGCGACGTTGTCGAGTCTATGCAGAGCTACTTCTCGTCCTCGGATGGGTATACATACTACTACTTCCAGGACCAGAACGCGGACGACTCGGACCAGGTGATCGTGTCAACCCGGTACATCGAGTCCCAGGCTTACTGCCAAAGCTACGACGTCATCCAAGGAGTGTATGGGAACCTCTCATACATTGTCTATCATGACGGCGACAAACATGTCAACAAGTCCCTTCCAGCGAGTCCGGGGCCAGGCGGCCTCCTGACAATGTCAAAGTTAAACTCGACCTGCGGTTCAGGGTGTGTGGAAATCCACACTTTCCAAGCTGCTGCGTACCCGGACGGCGGAATTTACGATGACGGAATCGGGACGTATTTCGTCTGCAATAATACTGTGGTGAGTCTTGAGGAAGCCCTTTGGATGTGTTGGTCTGCGTCTTCCCTATTTTCGCCCCCCTTAACCTGACGGGCTGGTGGCAATCTACACTCCATCATATTCCGTGCAGCTGACGTCTTCACAGCCTCAGGTCGGGGACGCCTACAACGAAGTCACGATCGACTATGAAATATATGCCATCGTGGGCAGGATGCTCGCGGGGGCGATCGGGTGGAGCGACAACCCTCCGACGGCCGACGGCCAGGAAGAGTACGCGGTGTACACGAACTCGTCGCAGGTGGGCTTTCTGGGGGCGGCCGGCCCGCTGGAGATGGCGGACCTGATCTCGTCCTTTACCATGGGGGCCATCTCCTTCATGGACAACTCGCCGGCCATGTGGCGCAAGACGGTGACGAGCACGCGGCAGCCCATCGCCGCACAGGTCCTCAAGGTGACGTGGCGGTACGCGGGCACCATCCTGGCCGTCATCCCCTTTATCCACTTTTGCACGCTGGTCGCCGTCATCCTGTGGGCCAACAAGGCCATCATCAAGGACGACAGCCACCTCGCCATCGCAAAGGTCTACCACACCCTGCTCGCCCAGCTGGGCGACCGCGGCTGTCTGCTCCGCGGCGACGAGCTCGTCTCCGTCCTCGGCAATCCCCACGTTGCGTACGGTTGGCAGGCCAGCAGCGAATCCGACGGCGCCATGCACGTCGACGTCTTCCAGGGCTTGATGAGGGTGGAGAAGGTCTTTGCAGAAGGCATGTACGACGGGAGCAGCAAGGTGAATGATAATAGCAACACCACCACTATGACCACCACCGTGCATAAAGGGCAGCACAAGGGTTTACGCAATCGTTATCGGGACATCGACGCGGCGGATTACTTCTGATGATGATGAGGAACGATACGCATAAAAAAAAGACTCAACTCTGTTTGGCACACACAATAAAAACAACTTTCTGTTTCCACTCACTGAACGACAAAAAGTCCAATCTCCCTCCTTCCCTTGCCCCCAACCAACCGCACAAAAGCTTCCACTGCCGCATCTCTCCGCGACGATATGAAAACCCTCGACCAAAGAGGAAAATAGTCGGGAAGCGAGATTTTCAAGCAAAAACCGCCCAACTCGGGTCGATCGATCCCCACCACCCATAGCCCTTGATAAAGTTGTCCTGGCCACTTGAAACCCTTACACTAGTGAACAAGCCTGGTTCTGCCCTTTTTTTTGGGCTGCACGCACGGTGAGAAAGCTTGCTCATTTAGCCAAAAGAAGAAGCTCTCAGCCAGCCAGCCAGCCAGCCAGCGCAACAAGGGAGGGAACCCCTTCTCTCTCTCTCTCTCCACATCGGGTCCATTTCTCGTAATACCTCCCCCCGGGATGGTGGTGGAGGCGGCGGGAAGACCCGTCACTTTTTGGAGGCAAAAGACCATTTGCGCTTCTTGCTTGTCTGAGACGTGGCGCGCTGGCTATCAGCCATGGCGATACATCGACCGAGGTATTCGCCGTACTGGTGGCCGCCCCCACACGAAGCATATTAGCAAGCTTGCCAACTGGGGAGCGAGAGACGGAGACTAGAGGCAAGTGGGGAGGGGGCGAGAGGACAAAGAAAACAAAGAGAGATCATAACTCTGATTGTTATCATGAGAAAAGAACTCTGTCTCCGTGAAACTCACCTCGGCCAACGCTTGCGGAGTGTCCGTTTGTGCTTGAGGTCCATTCCTCAGTGCAGCCTGGTTCTCGACGTTCTTGACCCTGGCTGGAGCCTCGCTGGTGGAAGCGGAGCCGTCGGAGGTGCTCATGGTGATCAGGCGACAAGGTGGCAGGGCAAGGTGAGATGCAGAGTTAGGGAGTGGTTGGGTCACCACAGGACCTATTCCTTGATCGAAGAAGGGAGAACTTTTGGACCGAGAGGGACGACGGGAAGAGAGAGAGCCGCTACTGCTTTTGGCTTTTGGGCTTCAGGCGTGGATGGAGTCTGTTGTCCTAGCAATGCTGACCTAACCTGATCGAAGGTTCTAGTGCACCAGGCTCCAGGTGAGAATATGCCTATGAAATTGAAATAGAGCTGTCGGTGTGGGAAGAGGTGCAAGCCGTGCGAAGAAGAAGGGGGCGGTGTGGTGGCAATGAGGTATTTATCCGATCGATATTGAAAGAGCAGCGGAGCCTGGACGATCACAAGAGGGGGAAAGGGAAAAGGGAAGGGGGATGATATTTGATATCACCGTGAAAGAACCCTGCGATATACCGCGAAACAAGATGCTTTCCATCCTCCCAATGGGGCGGGCGAGGGTCGACTAACTATATTCGGCGCCTATCCTCAGCCTTTTGTTCGGAAACCCCTCGATCTTCCCTGCCTGAAGGGGGGGCGCTGCAAGCAGGCTGCGGCCACAGGTGTATCGCCTCTGACGCAGACGCAGGCGCAGACGCCAGACGGCAACCGTAGTAGTGCAAACTCCCAAATAGTTGGGATGTCAAATGTTCGACGCCTGGACCTGGACCTGGAACTGGCAACAAGGGAGCGATGCCGAGCTCCATGGGGGTCTATTCTTTGGCATGGAATGGATAGGTAGAGCGTGTTGAGTAGGAGTAAGTCGTCAGAGTTGGAAGTGCTCCTTTTTTGGACACGCTGGAATAGGCAGTTCCACTATCCGCATTCATGGCTCTATTGGATAGTCATCATTTATTGATCCATCAATCAATAACCTGACATGACAATGAAGGGCAGGGCTCCGGCTGCATGCTCCTGTCTTGTGGCAGGGATCAGGGAAGGGGCTCCAATAATGACGGTGATGGATGGAAGGGTTTGGCACCTCTAGCCAAGTCGGTTAAGGTCGCTGTGCTCGTACGTTGATATAATCACCCCCCTGCTCGTACCTATGCAAGGTGTCTCGTGCAAATACCTGAATAGGCCTGGTGAGAAAGCCCGTTGACCAGTAACAACGTCCTGCTCTGTCAACCTCCACCCGGTGAATTTCGTGGGCCCCTAGCACCAGTGTACGACGTTATTCAATTCTCCATCTTTTCTTCCCAATGGCCTTCGTTGCAAAGTCAAGAGGCAGAGAGTTGGTGGGATGGATAGAAGGACGGATGGAGGGTGTGTGTCGATCGAACCAGTCAGAATGTCGTCTTCAGCCCTAACGTAGCTTAGCTACTTCTCGACATTATACATACCCAAAGAGGCGGGCCTTGATTACGCTCACACCGGTCCTCCCTCCCCCTGGCGACCTCGGGGCGGGGTGGAACATGGGCGTTTCGGCTTTGCCTCCTAAGAGCCTCGGACACTTTGTGAGTCGCACCGTTGGAATTGATAGCATGTGCTAAATTTCTCTATTGACAACAAGGGAATGTAGAAATATGCTTCTGTCATGTGAGGTTTGTGTGTTGTCGGATCTCTGATGCCCTGTAGCGTGGGCCCACCTGGATCATCCAGTGATAAAGGAGCTGGGAGTTGTTGTCTCTGGGAAACATTGACTGCACCATGGCAGAATCCCACAGGATCCCCCATCGGGTCCAGCTCAGCCTTGCGCAGAAGGATTTTCGCTTGCAACAAATGAGTCCTAGAATTACTAGGAGGGGCTTGACTGATTACTTGCGCGCAGGTAAATGACTACTCGGTACAGTTGGGGTGTTGAGGGGCCAAAATGGAATGACCTGGTGGGTGCCTGGAGCAGCCCTGGCGTGCTTGGGTAACTTATCCGAAAAGCTTGATGACCGTCCAACTGTCGCATGCACAATTAAAATCAAGTTCTTCATACATTGTACATAGGTGCCGTCCAAGGTACCGTGTACGAGCCGCTTCATCTCTGCAATTTTAGTTTTCGAGTCGTCTTTTCCTTTCTAAGCCTTCGTTTAGATGTACATCCTTTGTGATTAACCGAAAACTGGCCTTTGCCGGAAACGCCACCAGCCTTTCGTTTCTGACGCGGCACAAGCCTTTGCCGCTGATTTTGACCCTAGCTTAACGAACAACCAGAAACGCGGGAAAAACTCATCAAGCATGAACTAGAGATACGTGCAACCCTCGGTTCAATCTCTGGCTCCTCGACGGGCTTGTGCACGTCCCCCCGTCATTGCTGGAACAATCGGCTCGATTCTTCGAGGCAATCACCTGCGGGTCCCAGGTTCGCCTTTGAATCATCGATCCTCTTCAACCCGGTCCAGCTCCATTCCAGCCTCCTCGAGCCATATGACCTGATAGAGTTTGGGCGGCCATACAGGGGATCCAACTCCAGAGCAAAGGGTAAAACAGGAACATCAATAATGCACCGTCATGCGCTTAGCTCACCTGCACGTCCCGGACTTGATCCCGTACAGCCACTCACTACGTCTCCAAACGGCGATTCTGGAAAGACATTTCCAACACAAGGATTGGTTGCGTTCCGACACAAGAGGTGATTCACTAGCGAATGAGGGGAGACGAAACAAGGCCACGAATAATGCGCATCCAACTGAACCCGGCGACAAGGGCAAGGGCAGTGGAAGGCAGTCGTGGCAAAGTATCATCAACACAAAAACCTCAGATGCTGCCGCTGCTGCTGATGAGAATGATGACGCAGCAAGGGCACGCACCTTGCTGAGATGCAGCACTTTGCGGAACGATCGACCAGAGTCTTCAATGCTTGGCGCCAGAAAGGGAAACTGCACTACAAAGAATACGACGACGGCCTTGCACCATAATGCAAGCTCTCTGCCGGCTCTCGACGTCAGCTCCAGCTCCCATGAACTATCACACATCCAGATGCCCCCGGATCCTGTCCTCCTGACATTCAGCACCCCTCCCACTTACACGGTTGGACGACGGCACCTTCTCACGAATCCCATTTCCGCAGACCAGCAGACTTTCCTCTCTGCTAATGGTCTGGCCACCTTTCATGCCTCCCCACGTGGTGGCCTCCTCACATACCATGCACCGGGCCAATTGACGGGTTACGTGATCGTCGACCTTCGGAGGTTCGGCATCACCGCAAGATGCTGGGTAAAGCTGTTGGAGGAGAGCGTCATGCGCACTTGCAGCCGCTGGGGCGTCCGGACTGGGAGGACGGACGATCCGGGAGTATGGGTGCTGAATCCCGGCTCAGCTGCAGATCAGGAGAGGGGCGGCCGCAGCGCTTCCAGGCCGCCTAAGGGAACAGCAGCTACCGATCGCAAAATCTGCGCGATCGGTGTCCAAGTCTCGCGTGGTGTTACCTCCCACGGAGTAGGATTGAACGTATATGACGCACCGCTTCCTCCGTCGGCGACCCCATCGTCTGCCTCATTTTCAACAGGGCTCTCATCGTCACCAGGCTCCATCCCCTTATTGACATCGCCTTTTCCCTCGGCTGCCGCGTCCTCATCAGGACGACGACTTTATGACTTCATCCCTGCACAAACATCCTCGCCTTCTTACGACCCCTTGACGCGAGGTTATTTGTCATGGGGATTCAGCCGCATCGTGGCTTGTGGGCTGGAAGGAAAGAGCGTAACTTGGCTGACACGGGAGATGTTACGCTCACATCCGAATTTATCCTCGACCGCAATCCCTAACTCCGACCAAACAGCACACGAACAGTCATCTTCTCTCCCTTCTACAGCTGATCCCGGAGAAAAAGGTGTTTCGCTCACTACTGACGATCAACCACAGCTCATCGCGGAATCAATCTCGATGGAATCCGTTGCGGACGTGTTTGCGCACGAGATCGTCCACGGACTGAACGCCATGAAAACCGAGGGCAGGGAGACTGTGGATGGCGTATACAGGGTTCAGGAGTCGGATTTTCTTTGATCAGAAAACCTCTTGAAGCTCTACGAGGGTGTCTAATCCGGTGCCGATACCCACGACTTTGTGTAATAACGGCTGCAAATCAATGCGGATCGATCTGCTGCCCCAGTCCTTCTTCTTCTCTGGTTCGACTCCTTCACCGTGACCACCTATGTGCGTTGGAGGTGCGCCCAGAGGTCGCCGCTAGACCTGGCACAACGACGTCTATTGCTCGGAGTCATGACTAGAGACATCGATATTTCTTCGGTGGCGTCCTGCATAAGAAGATGGACGTGCCGGACACTACACAAGGACGACCAACGATGATGACGGCGCCACCACCACCACGGTGCCGGCTCGGGCACTACGGTGTTGCGGCTCACGAGCCAGGCTGTTTCAATCTGGCACTTCGAGCCGTTCGCGTCCTCTACATACACAGAGGCAACACACACCTTTTGGGTAAATGGAGTGTAAGATTATTTTATCTTTCGTGACGAACAAAAACAAAGCAGAAAGCTTGAGGACTAAAGGAATCCTTTGCCGCAAACACAGGGTCCCTTTCGAGCGCCGAACCAAACCCTAAAGTGTCTCTGCTCGCCTGACCTTTTCTGTACCTTGAGCCCATGCCCATGGCCGAAGCTTAACAACGACAGCACCGTTGGGCTTTTCCTTGAGTCTGTTGTCTCCTATTTTCCCATTTGTTTGTTCTTCATCGTAAAGACTTGCAACCAGTCCACCGGGCTCCAAAGGACAGCATTCCTCTCCCCATCCCCCGGCTCTATCAAGACTGAGATTCGTGATTATTTATACAGCAGTAATGACAGTCGTGACTTTTGTGTCGTACAGGAATAGAAAAGAAATGGGATCAATTGCTGTGCTTCAGTAAAGACCGGCGCAATATCCCCAATGCTGTGCATCTGGTATGCCCATGTCAGAAAAGCGGTCGCTCCAGTTCGCCGGGGAAATGCTGGGATGTTCATAGAGGTAACTGAACCTCGAATTGTTGCCCTCGGTATACATAGGAAAATATTTGCACACCTCGGTGTGTGCTCGAGAAAG